TTAGGTTTTTGAGATAGTTATGAGAATTTAATTGATGAGTGAGTAAAATAGGTAATTAGTTGAGCTGAGAAGGGTCCACGCGGAGCGAGTATGTCCACGCTGAAAGGATGCGCTTTCTACTGTTGAGTATACAGGTTGTTTATTCGTCCCGTCCAGCCTTTTTCTTCCGCTTCATCCGTTGCCGGGTCGCGGTGGGGGGCAGCAGTCCTAAGCAGAGACGCCCAGACTTCCCTATCCACACACACCTCCTCCAGCTCGTCCGGGGGGACCCCAAGGCGTTCCAGGCCAGCTGAGTGACATATCCCTCCAGTGTCCTGGGTCTTCCCCGGGGCCTCCTCCCGGTGGGACGTGCCCGGAACACCTCCCCCAGGAAGGCGTCCAGGAGGCATCCTGACGACAGATGCCCGAGCACACCTCAACTGGTTCCTCTCGATCGTGGAGAAGCAGCGCTCTACGCCGAGCTCCTCCCGTGTGACTGAGCCCTCACCCTATCTCTAAGGAGCGCAAGGCCACTCAGCGGAGGAAAGCCTCATTTTCTGACCGCTTGTTTCCCCCGCGATCTCGTCTTTCGGTCAATACCCAAAGCTCATGACCATAAGTGAGGGAGGGAACGAAGATTTGACCGGTAAATCGAGAGCTTCGCCTTTCGGCTCAGCTCCCTCTGTCACCAACACGGTCCGATACCAGGAGACCGCATCACTGCGCACACTGCACCGATCCGCCTGTCAACTCACGCTCCATTCTACCCTCACTCCGTGAACAGACCCGAGAATAACTTGAACTCCTCCCCTTGAAAGGACCCGCTGGTCTCCACCCACCGGAAGAGATCAAGCACCCTTTATCCGGTCGCACCATGGCCTCGGATTTGGAGTGCAGATTCTCATCCCAGCCGCTTCACACTCGGCTGCAAACCGCTTCATGCATGCTGCAGGACCTGGCTCGTTGGAGCCCAACAGGACAACATCGTCTCAAAACAGCAGAGAAAATCCTGTGGTCCCCGAACCGGACCCCCTCCGGCCCCTGGCTGCGCCTAGATAATCTGTCCCATGAATACAGTAACAGAAACCGGTGACAAAGGGCAGCCCTGGCGGAGGCCAACATGCACCGGGAACAGGTCTGACTTACTGCCGGCAAATGCGAACACAGCTCCTGGCTCCGGTCATACCAGGGACCGAACAGCCTCAGCAGAGGACCCCGACCTCGTACTCCCGGAGAACCCCCCAAAGAACACCCCGGGGAACAAGGACGAACTCCTTCTCCAAATCCACAAAGCACATGTGACCGGTGGGCGAACTCCCATGAACCCTCGAGTAACCGATGGAGAGATAGAGCTGGTCCAGAGGGATCCGCGGCCGGGACAAGAGAAAACCACACTGCACCCTCCTGAATCCGAGATACGAACCATTGGCCGTAGCCGGCGCTCTCCAGTACCATGGAGTAAACCGTTACCAGGGAGGGCTGAGAGTGTGATCCCACGATAAATGGTACACTCCCTCCGGTCCCCCCTTCTAATAGAGACCACCACCGGGTTCGGGGGTTGCCACCGGGACCACACCAGAGACCTTACGATCTGCCACATCACGATAGAGGAAGAGAACATGGTCCACCTCAGAAACAATGACCCCCACCTCTGCCGGGACCTGGGAGAAGCCTCCCGAGTGGTGAGTTGAAAGTCCGTCTGACAGGGGCCAGCGAGACTTTACCCAGCAGACTCCTCACTACACGCTTGGGCCCTGCCAAGGTCTGACAGCTTCCTTCCCCTGCCAGCGGATCCAACTCCAACCATGGGTGGTGATCGGGTTGACAGCTCCGCCCCTCCTCTTCCCCCGCGTGGTCCGAGACACGCGCGAAGGTCAGACTGATACACAACAAAGTCAAGCATCGACCACCGGCCTAGGGTGTCCTGGTGCCCATGCACTGGTGGACACCCCTTGTGCTCGAACAACTGAACACCGGCTCGGTTTCAGATCAGGGGGGCCGTTCTGCCCTATCAACCCCTCTCTGGACGTCCTTCACCTGCAGATTATGTGAAGATATTGCTGACAGCGACCACTGCATCCTTGAAGTAGCCAGAAATAATGTTGTTTGATTGATTCTGTAAAACGTTCCTGTTTAAGAAGAAGTGGAGCCCCCAGACCGCGGTCGTAGGAGGCAGGGAGGAGCTGTCTTTTTATTTATTTATGTTAAATTCAATTTACATATATACAGCATTTAAATCAAACGACTTCTTATTTCGACATAGTAGCAAATAATGTGAGCAATACGTTTTTATAATAAATCAAAGGAAAATGAGCCATCGAGACATTCCAATCCAATCTGCTATAGACCACTCTGACCAGACGATGGCGCTGAGAGGGGTCCACACGGAGCGAGTATTTCCACGGCTGAAAGGATGCGCTTTCTACGTGTTGAGTACGGGGTTTTATTCATGCATCTATAATGGGTTTATCTATTTCTAACCCTTTTCAAAGACCCTCACTGTTATCTGCGGAGTTATTTCTCCGGATTGTTGCTAAAAGAGTCGTGGGCTTTATTTTGTCACAATAAAATAATCAGACAAGGTACTTATTCCCTGTATGTCTCTGTGTTCTTGCTCATACGCCAACAACTTTACCCGCACGCTCCATCAGCTCACCCCCGCATGCACGCAAACACGTCACATTCACTTCAATGCACTGATCGCAATTCCAAAAGGGTAATATTGTCAGTGCCCGTGACTGTGGTTCTCCTGCCTCTGTCTGTGGTTCTCCTGCCTCTGTCTGTGGTTCTCCTGCCTCTGTGGTTCTCCTGCCTCTGTCTGCGGACCTCCCTCACTGTCCTGTAATCGCGAACGGTCTCTCTGTCAGTCACAATATTATTCACTGCATTTCTGGTGCATCCATCGATAGCCGTGATACTGACCAGATGTCACCAGTTGATGCTCAATGACTTTGAACAGCCACATGTGTTTTATTATTAATCTTCCACAGTCCGTTTAGGATAAACTAAATAGAGGCTTCTGAAGCGGATTTTAATCATAAACGGAGAGACCGTTTGCATTTTAACGCGATTACTACCTCAACATTATTGCTGCTACTTCATGGATGTGGTCTGTAGGCAAAATCTTCACATCTGCAGGTAGAGGATGACCCATGGTCATGGATCTATAACAGGGATGACCAGAGACCGTTCCAGACAGCAACACATACGAGTTTTCAACTGCACATGCGCAGTTGAAAACTCGTAATTTTGACTTTTAAAGTCGAAATTTTGACTTTTAAAGTCGAAATTTTGACTTTTAAAAGTCGAAATTTTGACTTTTAAAGTCGAAATTTTGACTTTTAAAGTCAAAATTTTGACTTTTAAAAGTCGAAATTTTGACTTTTAAAAGTCGAAATTTTGACTTTTAAAGTCAAAATTTTGACTTTCTGTAGGCTTTTTTTTTTTTTTTACATGGCGGAAACGGGCTTCCATACAAAACAAATGCGTTTCTATGGCAATAATGAATTGTGTGGACTTGACACCATGTGAATGATTTAAGAGTTCTTGTTTTCTTATTTTTTCTTGAATCAGGAAAGATGAGCCTAACTAAGTAATTGTTGCTTGTTTTGGATCCAAATATTACTTTTTTAAGCACATTTTTCTTAATAAGGAAGAGAATTAATTTCTTAACATAAGAATTTTATTCTCAAGGAAAATTTGCTAGATAAGATATTTTTTATTTTTATACAAAAAAAAACAAGGTTTTTTTTCTTATTTCAAGATTGTTTTTACTTGCTTAGAATTTACTTTTTGCAGTGCAGTAGGGTTTTACACTGGTCCAGACCACACTGTAAACCCTGACAAGTAAAGTTTACTTGAAAAAACCATGGAAATAAATTGCATATTAACTTCACTTGAATTCCTCGAGTACATCCTTTACTTGATATTACCAAGTAAACTGAGTGATTGGGATAAAGTTTAAATGTGAATTGAACTTTTGCTCTGACTGGGAATCGAACTCTGAATCTTGTGGTGGAAAGGTGAGAGTGCGATCCACTCAGCAACCATGAGATTCTACAACCTCACAGCAAAATGCTTGGTTTCGACAAAAAGGCAGAGAAAACCAAGTGTGAGAAATGTTGGATATTCTTAGCGTTGTTAAAAGAAAAGTTTGAATCGAATGAATACATACATTGTGCTATACAAAAAAACCGTCAATGCCATACAGTAATCGTACGGTCAGAATACCTTCAAATGTAAAAATCCACATCCACAGATGCAAAGATGAACCTCAAGCAATTTTAGCCTTTCTGTTTTATTATAAATTTGACAAAAAATAGTTTGAATCTACAGCCTCAGTCCTGGATCTACAGCCTCAGTCCTGGATCTACAGCCTCAGTCCTGGATCTACAGCCTCAGTCCTAGGTCTACAGCCTCAGTCCTGGATCTACAGCCTCAGTCCTAGGTCTACAGCCTCAGTCCTGGATCTACAGCCTCAGTCCTAGGTCTACAGCCTCAGTCCTGGATCTACAGCCTCAGTCCTGGATCTACAGCCTCAGTCCTGGATCTACAATCTCAGTCCTGGATCTACAGCCTCAGTCCTAGGTCTACAGCCTCAGTCCTGGATCTACAGCCTCAGTCCTAGGTCTACAGCCTCAGTCCTGGATCTACAGCCTCAGTCCTAGGTCTACAGCCTCAGTCCTGGATCTACAGCCTCAGTCCTAGGTCTACAGCCTCAGTCCTGGATCTACAGCCTCAGTCCTAGGTCTACAGCCTCAATCCTGGATCTAGAGCCTCAGTCCTGGATCTACAGCCTCAGTCCTAGGTCTACAGCCTCAGTCCTGGGTCTACAGCCTCAGTCCTAGGTCTACAACCTCAGTCCTGGGTCTCTATGTGGTGTCTTTGGTGGTGACTAATGCATTTACATGTCCGAGTGCCTCTCGTCCGATTGCTTGTTCTTCGCCGTGTTTCTCAGGGTTTTGTCCAATCGCTGACCTTCAAAAACACGTGAAGAGGTGAGTGTGCTTCTCCAACGGAAT